TCAGTTGTTCCCAAGAAGGGCCTGACACTCGATGACCTCATCGCGGCCATCGACCGACATGAAAGGAACCCGAACAACATCCCAAAGGTCGATACTTTCCATTTCTGTGGGGAGAGACTCTCAGAGTGGTTAGAGCGGGTGGAACAAGCTTTGGTCGGGCGGACGGATGTTGTAAAGTTTCAACGCATCCTTCAGTATGTCCTCCACAGCTACCATCAGGAGGTGAAGAAAGTCATAGATGCGGCTCAAGGTAGCTGGGAGAGGTTCAAGGAGGGGATGCAGAGGAAATACCGCCTAGGAGACGGGTTGTTGGCTACCACGGATCTTGAAGCGATGAACAAAGAGGATTTTACGACTATAGGGGCCTTTGTTCAAGAATTTAAGAAGAGGGCGCGGAAGCTCCATGGGATTTCGGAGGAAGCACAGTGCGCCATCTTCCTGGGGCTACCCACAGCATCGGAGGCCGTCGAGTTGACGAGACATGGAGGAGGTAGCACTAAGCTCATGTGGGCCACCATTGGCAGAGGGGTGGAAGTTGGGTGCTTGGACCAGGTGGAACAACATCAGGTACGCCTGCAAAGGCAAAAGAGAAAGGAAAGAGATGCGACCGCTTCTGGGACCCCGGGAGTAACAAGGATTGTTACAGACGTATTGGCACAGCTAGGGTATGCGACAGAGCTAGTGGTGCAAAGGAGGGTGGTGACGACTGACAAAGTAAAAAGAAAAGAGCCAGTGATAGAGGAGGCTGGTCAGGAGGAGCTCTGGGAAGAGGAAGAGCCGGTGCCGCAGCACCTGACGAAGGTCCAGCGCAAAGTGCGTAATTTGGCGCAGGGCGGACAGGGATCAGGAAAAGCGCAGGCACCTCAAACCCAGGCAGCAGTCCCTTTAAATGTGGCGGCTCCATCATCTAGTACTGGCCCCTCGCAAGGTGGGGCGCCCTCCTATGGACAGTGGCCCTGGCCGGTGATCAATGCAATTGTGCCATGGGGAAGCACGCCGCCAATAGCCGGACCGCAAACGAGTATGCCACCACCCATCTACCCCGCGGCCCAGGCCCAACCTGTGGCCCCGCCACCGTCACCTGATCCCAGTTCACAGGGCAGTGTTATAGGAGGTGGGAACCAGGAGCAGGGCAATCAAGGCAGCGGAGGGAGGGGTGGAGGAAAGGGGCAAGGCAGGAATGGCGGCGGAAGAGGAAGGCAGTGGAATGGCCAAGGCCAGGGGTACCGAGGCCAAGGGAGTCAAGGC